ATAAATATTACAATATATTATACATATTATCCAATATACATAATAATATATGAACGAGTTCATATACATTACACATGTTAAACATTAGGTATGATTAATCGTGGTCCGTGGCCGTGTTTAATTAAAAATATTTTTGTTTCAACTGTTCGTATTGAAAATTAACTAAAAATATTAAATGTAAAAAAAAAATCATAGCTTACAAGTATGTATAGTTCTTTCTGGACGATTTATCGTCCAAATATTTTTTACATGAAAAATGAAGCACGTGGGGAATTCAATATCCATCTAAGGGTAGAGGGATACAAATGCACTTTGCCAGCCATAAGTCACTCCTTTAAACTATATTTTAACAAAATATTTATTGGTGGTCATTGGTCTAACAGAATAACATATTCTATAGCATATTAGGTGTTTTTTATTGTATGTTACAATATTTTTCTTTATAATGGGACTTAGTTATAATATATTAGTCGTTTAGGCATGTGTAATAAGTTTTCACAAAGCAGCAGGCAGGTGTGATATTGAACGCAAGGAGGTTGATACAGCCGCTTAATTCGGGGTAAAAATCTTACCGTAACACCTATTAGTTTTCACTTAAAAGCTAATGGCTTGGCACTGACAGTCCTTTGATCAAAAGTTCATTATTGCAAAACTTTGAGCGTTTCTATAAGGAATATATTAAATATGTATTCTTGCTATAAACTCAGATTTTTTTCTATAAATCCTTACTCCTTTTTTTTGCACGTTATTTTTATGTTTTATACTTTATTTTAAAACCATTATGTCTCATTTATCATTATAGTTTAATATTATAGAATAAATTACACTTTAATATTTTATGAAAATATATATTTCATGGTAAATAGTTTAGCCAATTGATTAATCACTATTCTATCAGCCAACAACATCAAAATATTATTAGAGTAAGTACCATAATATAATATATATTAAAATGTAATAATATGGTGGTTTTGCAATTGACATTGGTGTGAACAGGTTACACTGAATGCGGTTTAGTTATACTAGTCATACGATTCTATCGGTAAATAATTAGATTGTATTTTCTGTAAACGGCTAATGAATATTATTAGATAAAACAGCTCCAGTGCTGTAGTTTAAGTAACTCGCCCTGATGTTTTCTAGAGTTTAATTGCGTTTGTGGAGCCGGAAAGTTTTCCTAAATAAAATTCAACCCGTCATCACCTTTTCTGACACGTTTGGGAGGTTATCTGTCCAAACCATCTGCTGCACTACTTGGACTCTACAATATTCATGATAATCCAGAGGGCTCAATGTCCATTACCCGAATCGCTCCATCTTCTTCGTTTGTATTGTTCCTTTGTGTTGTTTGAAAACATAATTTTATTTCGGCTTGCTACAGCTTTGTTCCATAAATGTTTAGCGTCTGGCAAGGTTCACAGGTAACCAACACACAATTTCGATAATAGCCGTACGAAATTATTGAATACTCGTACGGTACTAAAACAATACAAAATTGATCAAAATAAGAACTGTTTACCTGATTGTTGTATTATAATCAATTACTTATGATAGTTTTTACCTAAGTAAAAGGTGGTTTGTTACTTTTACTTAATCCACTCCGTACTTAAAAAAATAATACAAGTCATTGGAAGTTTAATTTAATTGTCTAATGACTCTACACACCAAGAATACTTAAAAATTTAAGGGTAGTTCATGAATACTTACAACATAACTGTTTAAGAACTGTTTATACAGATTTTAAATATTTATTTATTTATGCATATGACATATCGGCTTATATATATGGTAACAATTTAAAATAAAATTTAAGATAATCAAAAATGATAAATTTCTATGAAAGTGAACAATAAAAAATATAATTAGAAACAAAAAATGAATAAATAAATAAATAACCATTATAAAATTAGAAATTGAATAATTATAATCGCACAGCAAGTTCCCCAAGCCATTTCGCTGCGTCTGGGCCACACTCGTGCAGTTTTTCCAGCCCTTCTTCGAACCTTGTGATAGGGCACGCCTCTACAATGTGCGTGGTATTCTGTACCTCACCGCACCTCATTTTAAATATAATTTGTTCAAACAGTCATCACTCTTATGTCCTGTTTAGATTTTTTATCAGTAAAGGATCTAGCTACAACTCTGAGTACTTTGTGTAAACAATAGTTATACAAATCTGTATAGCTTATACAGATTTTTTCCCTTTCATACACTCATATTGGTCTTGGGGCGAATAAGAGTTAATCAACCGATACGACATATTATCTTCAAATAAAAGCTATTGTAGAACTAAAATTATAATTTTTTTACTGTATTTTTGAAAACTTGAATATTTTTTAGAGTATGAATGAATTTAAATATAACTGACTATAACTGAATTAAGTTTTTAGTTTGAAATATTAAAAAAACTTTATTTTTATCGGTAGATTTTATTGGTATGGGAACTTATGGGATTAATATTTTATGTTGCCAGGTCAATGCTTGGCTCTGTTTTATGAGGGTGGCCGTTAACGATGCACTTGTAGGCTTTAGAGATGGAAAATTAATATCAGTGACTACAGTGAACATTGGTATAGTGGGCAAATGCCAAAAACGATCATATGGGGTCTCGAAAAATCGTTTTCCTGTTCATATTTTGAGACCCACGTGGAATGTTATATATGTAAAGTAATTATAAAATTGCAAAAAAAAAAATCCGTTAGAAACTCAGCATACCGGTATTTTAAAAGTTTGTCAATATTAATATTGAATTTTTATGATTTTCAAAAATCTCGATTATAAAGAACAAATAAATTCCGGACATTGGCATGTTATTTGGTGTAGTATGCCACGAATTTTATACTTTAAAATATCTAACCAGTAACAATATGGTTTTATGTGTATTGTTTCACAGTAATTATACTATATTCAAGATACGTATTATTTCAAACATATAATATTCTCAAAACTCTTTCAATCATATTTTTGATGACAGCAAATTTCGAGTATGTGCGTTAAACGGTATCTAGTTCAAGGTTGTAGACATCATTGATGGTTAAAGCAATAAAAAAACCGTCTATTCTTGTAACTGTATAAAATGTTGTATCATAAAAACGAATTATAAAGTTGTTGACTTACTTAATTCATGCGTTAAACAATAAATTATAAAAATGTTCCAAGTTGCTGGAGATAAATTCTAAAAACAGCAACAATGTAATTAAAAACTGTAATTTAATCAATATGACCTAAATTTTTTAAATTTATATTAATCTGAAATAGCACATTAGGTGATAGATAATAAATCCCACGGTATTTTCTTTATATAATATAAAAGGTATGTACATCATATACAAAATATCAATATTCAATGTTAAACCATCATAGATAGTGTACAAAATAGATAACAATAATATTATATTATTATAATATTGCGTAATAATATTTATGATAGTTATGGAAAAAATTACAAATTGAAATTGTAAAACTAGTGGCTTTTTTTTTACAATTTTAAAACTATAATACAATATTTTGGTTGATGCGCTTTGGCAAAAAGTAAAATAAGAAAATATGTAATTTGCATTTTGCATTTTTTGTACAGCTGTACAATTCTAATATCTGAACTTTGCAAGATAGTAAAAAATTTAAATAAATTAACAGAACTGGTTTGGTGGACGGACGAAAATCGTATAGCAATAGACATGGTAGAAATCAGGTGCATGGTGAAGCGTTTTTTTAATGGTCATGGACACATACATTCGTTTGCTGAGCGGTGAGATCATTGTAATGATACTGATTTAAGAGGAGTGTGGATGTTAGTATCCCAGATATATTGACTTTTTAGAAAAAGGAAATATTAGGAAACATCACACGTTCTTGGTATGTTAACATCATAATTGTATAAATAAATTCAGTTTAAATCACATTTTTGAAATAGTAAAACAACCTTTTTTCATAAAAACTATTCTTAACAAATCTGTCCACTTTTTACGAAGTGTTACCCCGTCGTATAGTGAAACATTGGATAACGTAACACACTGTATATTGACTTTGTATTTTTTAAGATAATACAATTCGAATTTATGAAATTACGATAATTTAACCTTCAATTAAGTTACTTCAAACACATTTCATCCCCCCCCCCAAGCCTCTTTCTGTCACACAACAACCTCGTTAGATTCTTTCGACTTCATTCAACGACAAGTTATTCTACACACCACGCGTTTTTCTTAAATATAAATTACCACTATCTTCACTATCACTCTATCTAATGTTTCCTCATTCAGGGCCGGATTACTCGTTCCTTTGGGCCAACGAGTTATGACTAACGTGATTAACTAATGCCGCATCCCCTCCTCCTCCTCCTCCAAATAAAAATAAACCGTTAAATAGTGTAAACAATTATGCAGGGAACATTATTTTAAAACTCATATTTATTTCGCTCGAGGGCGTACCTGAGAAAGCCCGTTGGTCTTACAATGATGTGTTTTCTTTTTCGCGGGTCTGTGTACTTATGACTCACTTTTAAATTTTAATCTTTTTTTTTTTCGTGTACATTTTCGAATGAGTTTGAAAAAGCTACGAGGGTATTCCAATCAATCCGCATTTTTAGTAGCGGCGAACATTCGGGTGGATAAATTATCCAAGTGCCTGAGGCTTGTCTTCGCACAGTGTAAGTGTTACCGATCGTTGAACCGACATTATTTTTGCGGTATTCGTGGCCGCAGTCGGTGTACACCGCCGTGTTTTGACGGCATCGGCTAACTACAATTTTGACAGCCGACCGCTTGGCATTATCTATCAACGAGCTGATGAAATTCCACTTATCCGCCGTATGCGCGTGTGTTAGTCACACACGGTGGCGACAACGGCATTGGCGGGTAAAACACAGGAGACGGCGGCGGTACGCGCGTGTGCGTGCCGGCCGATTAGCGGCGACGGTTGCCGCGGAGAGCGCGGTTGGCGTGTCCAAAGCGCACAAGGACCGAAGCACAGGGTCCTTATTCCACACGTGCTCTGTCGGCCATCCGCAGAGCAGTCGACGACTTACTTCTGTCTTGCCGTGAGCTCGTCCGCGCCAAACGTTGTCCCGACTTTGCCGCACCAGTCGGCTCCGATCCGGACGTACCATTGGTCTACCGCGGTTTAGAATTTTCGTCTACTCACTTACTTCTTACGTCCGTCCGTCTTGCTGACCGCAACTACACCGAGCCACACCGGCCCCCGGGTACTCTCCGTCGGCCATGGGTTAACCGACAATGGTCTGCACCTATCAGGTTAGGTGGCGTTTAAATTTGACCGTCCGTCCGTCTTCGAAGTCTTACCCGCCAATGACGATTCGAGTCGCCTCACCACGTAAGTGTGCGATACTTAAGTGTTTTTGTGTATTTTATTTAATAACCACGTTATTGTGTGAATTATCATCAATAACCACGAGGGGTTGGCAATGAATTCTACCCAACGAGCCCGTTCATAAGTTACGTTGTTAATTAATATATAATAACACAATCGAAACTTTTAGGCGAGGTGATCCGCATCACGTCAAACTCGCTTAATTTTGTCAAAACCGTCGTAGAATATTAAAGTAGATTATAATATTAAAATTAGAGTACTTGGAAGTTACAGTGACGAATTTAAAGGGATAGAACAGCGTAAGATAATCGTCCACTTCTCCAACTGAGTTTTCATGATCTTTGTAAATGAAAAAACAAAATTATTATCTATACATAATCAGTTTGTATAAAAGTCAAGTTATGAAATAATGATTTCGAAAAACTTGGTAAAAATACCACCAGTACTCGTATAATGATGAATAATTAATAAATTGAAAGACTTTCTAGGAATAAAAATACACAATATAAACATCCAACTTGAATACAATGGTGCTAAATCATATTGCTTCCAATATATACGAAGTCTCGATAACGTGTTGACATTATATTGACAATGTACTGGAGTGTTATGCAATAAAAAGAAACGGAAACCAACCGTACATAATGTAACACTCTTTGAGGGTAGGACAACAAGTACATATACATATTATGTATATTGTAGTTGAGGGAAGTATTTTTAGAGAACAGTCAAATGAAAGGTTTTTTTGTATGTCACTGAAGTATTTATTCAGACAACATTGGAATCAAATATTTTATATACTCGCTATAATGGAAATGACTAAATTATAAAATACAAACAGTATTAAAAAATGTAATTTACCCACAGTCCCAAATAAAAATGCACTGTTTGTCCTCGTGGTTTATCAGTTACCACAAACACAGACATTTTTCATATCAATTAAAATCACTATAATTATTACAAAGAGGTATTTTTATTATGTAAAATATTTCTTTTTTTAGGTTCCTACTTTAGTTATTGAATATTACTAAAGATAAATATATATATATATATATATATATAAACGCATAACTTTAAAATTAAATTATACAATATACATATTAATGTAACATTAAATAAATATATTGTAGTCTATTGGTGTAATCATTGGCAAGTTTTAAATTTTGAAATTCGAATCACATTTGCCTTAAACAAGTGTGTACATATTATAATGTTAAAAAAAATAATCGTATAAAAACAAAATAATAATATAAATTATATTTACATTTGAAAAACTTCTATAACTTTGTTTATTAAGTTTAAAGTTTATCAATTTCTTTTTTATAGAATATGTATAATATATTTGCTAGATCAGGAAGTTTTAATAACATAATTGTGTCAAAATGTAAACAATGGCAAACGTGCTTGATGTATATAAGATTGTTTGTAACTATATTTGTTTACTAAAGGTAATTGAAAATGCTCAGCTACAAAGTATTTTATAGGGCAACGCACATAAATATTGTAGCACATCCATTTATGTATAAACCTATCAGTAACGCTTTTCTTGTGGTAACAGACAATCGAGTATCTTGTAGTGTTAAAACGGGAAAGTTCTTACCGACCTTTTCGATTACTCAGTTTGACCTTTTATAGTTATACTTAATTCTAATTTACAATATTATTATTTATAGGAAGTTAGAATTTAATCCGATTAAATTATTTTGAATGGATTGTATTTGTTATACAACTGTTACTTTTCTGTATTGTTATTGCTCTTCGTGCGGCGTATCATCTATTTTTTTAAATATACTAAAGTTAACGTTTATTTAATTGTTTAGTTAGTATAAAGTAGTTAGTAGACTACATCACAATCCACATAATATCTATTCAGAACTATTTTTATGTATAAAATACAAAAGTACATTTTAAAAACCAGTTCATATAAATTAGCTTTTGCCGTTTTCTGAAGTACACATTGTCTCATAAAGTCAAGGCAGTACCTATTTGTTCATTTTCCATTGTGCTGGAAGATATAAAGAATGGAAGCAAGTTAAATTTAAACTGTGTCCGGAGTTAATGGTTGTTGGCAACAAAATAAATGATATTGGTAGGTATAATTATGAAATATACTGCAATGACCTTTGCTGAAACCTAATTTAAATTAATGAGTTAGGCGGCATTTGATGAATAACGAAAAATGCAATCACATATTATATTGTAGAATTTTGGTGCGATAACTCGCATTATTATACGTTTCAACGACTTAAAGCATTTTAAGTTACTTTAAGTGTTCTATACCTTGTTGACGTTTTAGCATTGTAGTTTCTTAGCAATTAACAGCATTAATATTCGTGTATGTCAAGGTATCTCGACGAAACGCAAAATTGCAAGTACAACAACCACACGTGACCCATAATTTTGAATAATGACACGTAAAGGTATATATAATAATATAACGCATGCACATTTCCATTTCTAAACTTTTATTTTACACTTATGTTTTGAACTTAAAGTCATTTCCCCGTGACCGCACATGTACGCTTGTTGTTCGTGCCGAACTGTCTTGTTGCTGGACTTTTTAATGCACATGGATCTACTGCTAAGTACCCTTACCGAGCCATCAACAGAAGTACGATTGAGGTAGATTTTTTTTCCTAACTACCTAATTTTCCAAACGTTAATTACTACAAATGTATGAATGTAATAATGAAATTTAAAATTTGTTGAAAGCAATAAGTGAATTTATGTTTTTGAACACCTTCCAAAATACTAATTTTATTTTCAGACTTTTCTGTCAGATGAATTCGATATTACCAAATAATGTATCATGTTAATTAATAATACAACACTATAGGATTTTCACTTCGAAGTAATAAAAATACCGTCGTTATTTATAAGTTTATATGCTGTACCCGAACGGTTTAATTAAACCTCGTCAATCTAGACACGTGCACTTTATAGACGAGTGCTCTTAATGATAACGCGATATGCAAATTTTGGTACAGATTATAAAACGTGTAGGGTGGTTAAAATTAATAGCTGCAATACTTAGGCAACCGTCAAAAAATGACACCAACATCCCTTGACTGTACAGTGCTTATATTTGGTAATTTTCTAGAGTCTTCCGGTGCGCAGGAATCAAGAATAGTTGGGTGCAAATGCTGATATCCAAAAATGAGTGGCTTAAGGCATATTGAAAAAGAATATAATTATATAACCGAATTATATTCATAAAGCTTATGCAAACCACCGGCCAATGACCCGCAAAAGCCGTATATCCATAGAAATGCTGGTTAATACATAGAACATTGTACGGCAGTGGGCCGTTATTTTCGATAGGATACTTAAGCCTTGGATGGGTGGCGTTATGAACAGCTTAAATAATTGACGGTAGTAAGTCCAGCTTAACGTACGGACACATAATGTTGTTGTACACGCAGCGAGCAATACCTAGAATCTTTAGTGTGCCGAGAAAGTAAATAAATACATTTTTCTGAACTATGCGGAGAATGTGGTTAGTCATTTCGAGTTAAAGCCAAAGACCAAAATGACCGACTCCAAGTAAATGCAAGTATAGTTGCAAGCAAAATATACAATATTACACTATTTTAATATTATGATAATTTATTTTATTTTTTTAATGTATTCTAGTTAAAACATGGGTATAATTATCAATATTTTGCGTTTAATTATAAAATTATTTTGAATACCATAAAACGAGTATTCAGTAAAAAAATAGTAATAACGATTAAATGATTCTGATTTTGGATAACAAAAAAAAAAACGTTTCTCGTTTAAGTAATAAGTCCAGCTTTTTATTAATTTTCTGTCGGAAATAATTATGATACGTTAAAAATCGCGTACATAAATAAATAAAAAATAATCACGGAATTTTCATTTTTAATCGCGTTACTAAAATATAATTTGTATGTAATTACATCTAGAAAATAACTGCTACATTCATATTTGGATTCAATAATAAAAATCCTGTTCACAAATCAACCCACCAACTCTCGTGTAATCAAATAAACAACAATATGGTTTGTTGGAATTTCGTATGCGCCTTGATTTTCTCGATTGTGTTATGTCATTTATCACTTTAATTGGCTATTTTGTTTTTCGAGTGTGAGCCTAATTTTACTGAAAATGAAACGTCACCTTGTAAAAAAAATGCACATTTTTACTTAGTTTAAACAGTAGTTTTACTTAAAAATAATCAAGCTTCGCCATAATATATTGTAATAGTACAGTTTTTTGCATATATTTACATGCTATAAACATGTCTCATGAAAATATAACAATATACTACTGCAAATATTTTGTTGGTATTAAATAATGCATACGCATCATACTTATAAGAACCCGCGGGAGACCAAGATTAAAAATTAAAGTCGAGCATACGTAGAACGACGACTGTCGTAAACCAATTTAAAATAAAAGAGACTTCGAACAAAGATAATATAACCGTGTCTAGTACTTATATGCGTATATTGTTTCGTGTGTGCACAATTTGACATTAACATGGTGCTTTTCGATTTCAACAAAGACCTAACCTTCATCATGTGTTATATTTAGTTGTCCTACAAAGTTGTCTGTCCTATTGAAGAGTAGTATTTCCAACGCAGAGGAGTATATATATATATAGTGTAGCGCACTCTTCTGTTTTGTATATTATATAGTTTTGATGTTGGATATTTTTTTGTTGTTTTTTTTCGTTTAATCGGCGCCTATCGTATTTCCTTAAAAGGCAAAAACCATTTACTACGGTTCTACGATTTTCAGGAAATACCATGCGCGAATTAGAGGGAAAATGATTATGATAGCCTAGTAATACTGTGTTAACTATAAATTTGACTTGGTTGTGTGCATTCATACGCTATGCGTTTTGCGCAGATACTAATAAACTTTTATCGGCTACCGAAAAATCGAAATTTCAAACAACAAACGACAGACCAACCGTTGAATAATGGAAAACGCAAAGTGGCCGCGTCGAGGTATTTTCAACTAGTATCTATTTTTTA